GGGGCACCTATCCCTGGGCACGTGTTGGGCGCCAGGTTAAGGCGCTGCGTTACCTTATGCACGTTGAATGGATGCAGCTGAATTGGGTGGATGTTCTTAAGCCCTGAGGGTGTAATGAGATTTTTGTCTCTTTTCCCCATTTCTTTTCTTTTTTCAGAATAAGTCGTCTGTTTAATGGCACAGAGCCTATTGTCTTGGACAGTTTAAAACAACATTATTTCATTGATCGAGACGGTGAAATTTTCAGATATATATTAAGCTTCCTAAGGACATCTAAGCTACTGCTCCCAGATGACTTTAAGGTAAGGAAAGCTATAGTCTGCAATCCATTTTTTCCTCCCACTCTGTCCCTTGTTTTGGTGCAGGTTGGTTTGTGTGCTTGACCTGAACACACTTACCTAAATGTTGCTGTTTATTGTTAGGAATTTGAGTACTTGTATATTACACCAGGGATGCTGTTAGTTAATAAATGGACCAATGGTTGTCATGGATACCATAAAAAGTTAAACGATGAAGCTTACGGCTAAATCAGTTTTTCTAAACTAATTGTATTTTCTCACATTTTTAGCTTATTTATCAGGGTATAACAACAATTAAGAGGCAACATCAGCAACTAGCACTTCCCAGGGTTTAATGCTCAGAATCTGAAAAAAACGTTTTAAATCTGATACTTAGAGGACATAAGTTGCATAAATCTTTTTCTTGTTGGTATAAAGACCCCCAGAAACAAGCCCATGAGGATTTGTGTTAGATACAAATACTTCGATTTTAGGAAGTAATCTTTTACGCAGTTTATGAATGTCAAACTCTTCCTGGGAGATGGCATTTTCTGAGGGCTTTTTAAGGAGCAGTGCATGTTTTCTGTGAAATAATGGCGCTGGTTGTTGCTTTGCAAACCCTGATTGTTGAAACGCTCTCCTCCTAGCCTTGTTTGTTTGGCTTTGCACTTACGAAACTCTCAACATTGTCATCCTTGTGTATGAAAATTAGAAGACAAAAGTGTCCAAACTGTAGATGACAAGATTCAACAAAAGCACTAACTCCAGGATGAAATGATGAATTAATTGGGATGGCAGCAGGGATCTGCTCAGAGTTAGAGGATGTGGAGCGTTGCTGGAGAGGAAATTCCCGCGCCGTGCAGTGAGAGCTCACTTTGCATGTTGCACTAGGTAGGCAAGATAATTTGGCCAGTCGTTATTGAGTCAGGCCCGGTTTGGGGTTGCTGTGGTGGCTTTAGGTGTGGGGTAGAGCTGCTCCTCACGCTGCAAACCGCTCCGCCGCCGCTCTTGCCCAAGTTACGAGCGCGATCGTGTTTGACCCCGGCGTGGGAGCGTTGGCCGTTGGTGTTGAGCCAGACGCGCTGTGCGATGGGAGCACACGTCTGGTCCCGAGGAGGGAGAAGTTCGGGCCTTCCTGGG